TAAGGCCCTCGACATCCACCTCCACTTCACCTCCGGTTATCATCCAGAAGGAGACGGTCAGACCGAATGGATGAACCAGACGCTCGAGCAGTACCTGCGCATCTACAGTAACTACCAGCAGGACAATTGGTCCGAACTCCTGCCTCTTGCAGAGTTCGCATACAACAACGCTCCAAATGCCACAACGGGCGTCTCCCCGTTCTTCGCCAACAAAGGCTACCATCCGAACATCACCGTTCACCCGGAGCGAGACCTGACATCAGTATGCGCCCAAGAGTACTCCGTCGATCTCAACTCCCTCCACCACTTCCTTCACGAGGAAATGCATCTCGCTCAGATCCGTTATCAGGGCCCGGCAGACTCCCGTCGGAGTCCTGCCCCAGCTTTCGAAGTAGGAACCTCGGTCTATGTAAAGGCCAAGTATTTCCGCTCCACCCGACCTTCCAAAAAGCTCTCCAAGAAAAACCTCGGCCCATTCAAGATCATCGCCTGCATTGGAACTCACTCCCTCACTCTCCACCTGCCGGAAAACATGCGAGCCATTCACCCGGTTTTCCATGTCTCGCAGATCGAACCCTCCATCCCGAACATCATTCCGAACCGCCACCAGCCACCTCCGCCTCCCGTAGAAATCGAAGGCGAGATGAAGTTCAAGATCGAGGAGATACTTGACTCCAAGATCGACCGACATAGATGCAATAAGTTGCTCTACCTGGTCAAGTGGCTAGGCTATGAAGGGACCGACAAGGAGACCCAATGGCTCCTTGCCGGCGAACTCGATCACGCCTCCGACCTCGTCGAAGCGTTCCACTCCCGGTACCCAGCGAAGCCTGGACCCGAAGCTCCTTAGGAACCCCGACCCCTCTCCCATTCCTCCTTTTCCCTCCACTCCTCACTTCCGTTTTCATTTTCATTTCCTCATTTTTTCTTTCTGTAAGTACAGCTCCCCTCATCTTACTAATTCTGGGCCTTCAAGGGTTCAGGCCTAAGAAGGGGATACTGTCATATCCATTCCTGGCCATCGACTTCCAGCCCCTCCGATCCCTCTGGTCTACCTCCGCTCCTTCTTTACTAACCTCGGAGCTCCCGTATTCCGCAATCCTCTCAGTACCCCTCGATGGTCACCACCCCCTCCTTTCAATTTATTACCTACGCCTCCCTAAGTACGGATCCCCAAAGACTTCCGGACAGCTCTGACGTCCGCTAGTGCACTCCCGCCTCCGCTGGGCAATACACTTGCCTGCCCTGCAGAGCCCACCTTCGGGCCTATCCCTCCTTTCCGTTTCTGGGTTATCGCCCGCCTTTCCATTAACCCCGTGACCCAACTCGTCGGTAATATTCAGTCAGCTAATGTTTAACCCTGTTAGCTCCGCTCCGTTCGGCTCCGCTATTTGCGGACCCGTCTTCACTGTCACCATATATATATCCAACTTGTACATAGGTTACACTTCAGTAATAAAATCGACTAGAGTTACCCCCCTTCAGTTCTGGTTGTCAGTTAGTAAGTTAGGGCATGGACGTGTTACTAGGCACATATTAGAACGTGCGGATTCGGACGACTCCGGAATGGAATCGGAGACTTAGCATGGAAGGACCTTGGCCTCAGCGACTCAGGCGGAGCGCTGTGCCATTGCTGGTTGTCCTAGGGGTCCCTAATTTCAGATCTAGCAGAGGGAAAGTCTCTTGGGGAATTCATGTCGATTTCGGACTAAACCAAAACGAGTATGTACAAGTGCCGATATATATAATGGAAGGGGCAAAAGCACAAGGAGAACAAAGGGTAACCGAATTGGAACGAAGACGTCCGAATGGGAACAAAGGGTAGAAGGAGCGGAGCGGTACCGAAGGTCATAAGGCAGGACCTGTGATACGTCCAAAAGGAGGTAGGGAGGGCGAGGCCCAGAGGGGCAGGAGGGTGAGGGGAAGTGGGGATGATGACTAACTGGCTAGAATAGGAAGAAGCAGTAGTCCAAATAGGGATGAGGGGAAAACGCGAGAAATACATTACAAGCGGCAAGAGTGCTGAAGGCGATCCGCGAAGCTCGGGGGTTGCGGAGGTTACGGAGGTTACGGAGGCGGGGTTGAAAGTCCGAGGGATATTGGCAATGGTGTTTACGTAGTATGAGGTCACCAATGCAATGGACTAAGACTGAGGTGGAGTCAAAGTCCGAGGTAGGGACTATGACGGAGGCTCGGAGCAAGGTACGAGCGGTGTCCGAGTGCGAAGTACGGGACAGTGGTGGAAGGTCGTAACTTGGCGGAAGGGTGGCGGAGGAGTAACAGAGGGAGGAGAGAGGGGAAAGGTAAGGGAGAAGGAGTGGCGGAAAGGAGAGTAGTCAGGTCCGAAGGTGAGTATCGGAGCGGACGGAGATAGGGTCGGAGAGGTAAGGAGGAGGTGTGTTGCCAGGACCGAAGGTGAGTATCGGAACGGCAGCGGTAGGTTATGACTCCGGAGGTGAAGAGGGTGGAGGTCCGGAAGTCGGGTTGGGGTCGGGTATGCACGGATATGACAGCACAGCGCTCTTGGCATAAGTCGCTGAGGCCAAAGCCCTCCGCCACGGAGACTTTCCTTCATCTCGAACCTGGTCTCTGACACAATCCCCACCTTTGACATCAACTGGACAACACCATCACAAAGAAACACACATCTTATCTGTCAATATGTCATCATCCATACATGACCACACCAACCTCTACTGCTCAGTGACCAAAAAAAAATTTGACCCTCAGGGCTGGAAGAAACATGTAACTGCTTGTGAGGAGAAAATGGTAATGAAACACATGGGGAAGAAGATGGCAAATACAAGGAATCGCCTAATTGAGGGACAAGCTGCATCAGCAAACCTGGTATGGACCTCTCAGAGCTCTCAGAGCTCTGTGAGCAAATTGAGTCTTTTGCTGTGCACCCTCTACACATAGAGTCAAGAAAATGAAATATATATATGATTTTGTTCTCATAAGGATGCTGAAGTGCAAAGATAATATGGATATCCATTTTTGGAAATGCATGTAAAATAGCCATCATCATCACTCGAAAAGCTCTATGAGCTCTATGAGCTCAGTGGGCTCATAGAGCTCATAGAGCTTTGTGTTTTTTTTACTAATGAATGGTCTCCATGTCTCCATGGAATCTGCTGAGTTATCTTGGCACCAGTAGTGCAATGGTAATATGGATATATGTTTCTGTAAATGTGTGGAAAATAGCCATCCTCATCACTCCAAAGGCTCCAAAGGCTCTATGAGCTCTATGATCTCAGCAGACCTTTTGTGTTTACTGATGTATCCATGGAATATGCTGAGATACGGCACTTTGTTTATTGCTATTTGTAAAATTTGAGGAAAACTCCAAAATTCAAAACTTTGCACTTTATCTTTCATCTCATTTCTTGCTTAAAACTCATCCAATTTTGATGATTCTATCTGTGTGCATTGGAAAGCACTTAAGTGTGGCAATGTAACCATGCATGTTATGTAGGGTATAGAAAAGTCTCCCAAAAAGAGTAAATTTAAAATACAGCCCAATAAAGCAAACAGAAAGCTGATGTATCCTTCAGATATCATCCATACATCCATACCAAGCCTTTTGAATTGTCAAAATTGGGTGAGTTTTGGGTGAGAAAGGAGATGAAATATATAGTGTAAATTTTTGGATTTTGGAGTTTGCCTTGAAATTTTCAGATAGCAAAAATTTTATGATAGAAAGGTGATTTCAATTTTTTTAAATTATTTCTAAATGTCCTGAAATTTCTCTCCCTAACATTCCCCAAGATTTCTGAATTTTCCCTAATTTTCCCTGATTTTTTAGAAATTTTCCTTTTCTCAATTTTTTTTGAAAGTCCCCCATTTCTCCCTGAATTTTCTGAAATTTCCTTAATTTTCCCTGACTTTTTTTCAAGTTTTTAGAAACCCCCCAGTTCCCCCTCATTTTCCTCCCATTTCCCCCTTCATCCCCCCCCTCAATTCCCCCCCCCAATTCCCTCTGCAATTCTCCCCCCATCCCCCCCTTCAATTTTCCCCTCATTCCCCCCCCCTAATTCCTCCTTAATTTTCTCCTCATTTCCCCCTCATTCTCCCCTCCAAATTTCACCCATTCCCCCCCTCATTTCCCCCCTCAATTACCCCCCATTTCCTCCCTCATTTTCCCCCTCATTTTCCCCCTCATCCCCCTCTTCAATTGTCCCCTCATTCCCCCCCCCAATTCCTCCTTAATTTTCTCCTCATTTCCCCCTCATTCCCCCCTCCAAATTTCACCCCATTCCCCCCCCTCATTCCCCCCAATTCCCCCCCATCCCCCCCTTCAATTTTCCCCTCATTTCCCCCTCATTGCCCCCTCCAAATGTCACCCCATTCCTCCCCTCCATTTCCCCCCTCATTCCCCCCCTCATCCCCCCCTCCAAATTTCCCCATTTCCCCCCTCATTTTCCCCCCATTTTCCCCCTCTCATTCCCCCTCCCAATTCCCCCCTCATTTTCTCCCTCATCCCCCCCAATTCCCCCCCATTCCCCCCCCTCAATTCTCCCCTCACCTTCCCCCCCTTTCCCCCCTATTTTCCCCCTCATTTTCCCCCTCATTCTCCCCCTCATTCTCCCCCCCATTTCCCCCCATTTCCCCCCATTTTCCCCTAAGTAATTTCGGATTAACCCTATTTATAACCCTAAATTCAGTGTATATATCAATTGGGTTCTTGGTGTGCAGTGCCACATGAGGGGTTGCAAGTTAAGTAGACTGTTGTCCAGTTGACCCTAGGGTAGGAACTTGACTGTGGCCAGTCACATGATACTGTAGTCAAGCTTTTTATTTTTTTAAATTAAACATGGGCTCAGGGTGCTCATAGAGCTAATAGTCCTCTGTGGGCAAATATATCTCTATGAGCTCTCAGAGAGGGGGACCTGCAATTTTCAAAGTTCATAGCTCTGTGAGCTCTAAAAGCTCTGAGAGCTCTGAGAGCTCTATGAGCTCTCATACCTCCTGGTTGGGTTTGCTGATGTGGGCCATCCGAAATGAGTACAACACCAATTGCTGGTATCCCAGGTGTGTTGGCTCAACATGACTTCTAGTGCTTTGCTCACCTGGGTTGCTCAGTACAAACAGTTGTAGGATCAAACACTCTGGAAGATGTGTCTTCAGAACCATTGGGACCATTAGAAGATGCATCACCTTCAGAGCCATTAGGATCATTAGAACTGGTAGCTCAAGGTATGCTGTGCCATGGTATTCCCATCACTACACTCTCATGACAATTATGAGCAGAGGCTCCTTCACAGTCACTAAAAATTGAGTTTCACCACAGTTCTGGCATTGCACCAAAGATAGCCCCATTTGAAATGGGAACATCACACTTTGATGCAAAGACTACTCCAAATACCAACCCATTTTCAAATCCTTGGGCACCCTTTGTGACCAAGGCAGACTTTGAATTCGCAGAGCTGGTGACTGGGGATAACTGCTCAATTCACTCAATAGAAACACACATTAAAATCCATATGCAAAGTCCCCAGCCAGCCATCACCTTTACCACTCATAAAGAATTTGAAAAAACGCTCAACAAAGCTGCAGAGCTTCTTACAAATGTGCGCCCCATTCCAAACCTATATTTCTCACAGCTGATGTGATCCTAGTTTGAGGAGTGTACTGTGATGGTCTCAGTTGCTCCATCAGATGAGAACTCTGAAATTCGGCCTCATGTCCTCTTTCGCAAAAATGTGCATCAGTACCTAACTGACCTACTTTGTGATCCACTATACATCCATGAAGTAGAGTGGATGCCCCAGAAGACATACAAGTCAACAGGTGGAGGTTGGATGCGATTTATTAGTCAGCCCTGGACTGCTAATGAATTTTGGGACATCACAGTATGCTTCTTATTGTTGGCAATTATCTTGCAATAACCATTCCCTGGTAGAATGATCTCCCAGAACAGGATGATGGAACGCCTTCAGTGTTGCTTGCACTTTCAGTGTATTCTGACAAATCCCAACTGTCCAGCTTTGGGACAGTCAAGGCATATCCAGTCATTTTGCGTGTTCTCAATGTCCACAGCAATATCAGGAACACAATTGGATTTGGAGGTGGCCACTTAATTGGACTCCTTCCTCATGTAGAGTATATATAAATGTCTTTTTTTTGGCTCTAATTGTATCCTTCCAGGTTGAGGAAAGAGCAGAAGATAAATTTGACTTTGCAACATATCGCCAGAACCTGGTCCATTGCAGCCTTGCTGAGGTGTTTGAATCTCTCAAAAAACCCAGTCAGTTTGGGACCCGGCTCCAGTGTGGCGATGGGAAGATGCGTCATATTTATTTTTACCTGAAGGATGCTGCTGCTGATGGGGAGGAGCAGTGAGTGACACCCCACAATTACAATTGAAGCTAATATATTGAGGGTACTCCATTTGTTTAGAACCATGTTGACAGGCACATTGGGGCCAAATGCAAATTATCCTTGTCCCCACTGCAAGGTTCACACAAGTAAATTATCCTCCCTGACAGTCAAATGGCCTGCCTGGACATCAGAAGACAGTCACTCAACATTCCAATCTGCAATGTCTGCCTCCACAAAGAAAAGGGCGACTGGGATCCTCTCAAGTGCTGGCTTGGCTGGGGTTCCAGTATGACTCAAAATTATCCTGAATTGTTTTTTCCCTAATAAACTGAGTCTAGAATGCATTCTGGGCTCTAGGGAGTGATCCTCATGCAATGGTTTCATATGATAAACTTCACTTCAATGATTTAGGCCTCTGGGGTGACCACATTTGGCCATTATGCCAGGGAATCATTGAAGGATATCCAAAGTTTATTAGAGGAAAATTTGAGCAGCGGTGAGCTTCTCAAATGGATGATAACTGCAAGTCACTAAAATCAGGAATTTTAGGATATCAGAGATTCCACGGTGGCCAGAATTGAACCACTTTAAACACTGCCTTTCAATGTCATTCTCAGATGGCACAAAATATAGTCACCTTCTCAAGGTGAGGAAGTATTATCCTAATATTATGCCAGGCTAATATGGTGTCAGGTTGTTCTGCATGGGCTCCATGATTTGAATGAAGCACTATATCCCCTTTCAACACTTATTCGCACTCTTGCAGAGTTCTCAGTCCTTATTTCTCTTGAGGTGCATACTGATGAAACTCTTCAGTGGGGCCATCAAGTTGTGCAGCAGCTTGAAGATGCAATGAAACAGGTATGAACTCAGCTCAAACACACCTGACAACAAGTCTCACTCTTGTTAGCCATTTATCATCCCTGAAACACTAGTGGGGACAGTAAAAAAGGCATACACTAAGTCACTGTTACCCAATGGGCAGAAATCTTGGTCCTTCCCCAAAGCCCATGCTGTATCCCATGCATTTGATGATGTATGCCAGAAAGGTGCCCTCATCCATGTCAGTACCAAACCAGGTGAAAAACATCATGGGGAATACTGGCAGGTCTATCTGTCAAGTAACAAAAAAAATGTCAACAAGCATGTATGTAAAGTTTCTAGCAGTATCTTGGGTTACTTATGTTATTTTGGATCCAGATTGTACTCAAGGACCAACATAAGGCAGTCCTAAAATTAGTGAGGCAGAATGTTGAGCATGCAGAAGAGTATGATGCTCAGCAGCAGATGCACATGGAGTCCCATGAAGACCACCACCCTGAGGAGATAGATGAGAACAATGAGGTTGTTCATATTAAATTATGCAGCCCATGCAAACGCATCTATGGCCTCACTCTTGCCATGGTTGAACAGGAACAAAGCATGGTGCAGCCTGCCACCTTCAAGGATTTCCGGCAGAAGACACTCCATTTCCTTGAAACAGTGTATGGGCTGACAACCATAGTTCCTAGTGCTGAGAATGTAATTTCCATCCATTTTTGATGGCCTAATACTGATTCATTCCATAGATCACAGAGTACCGCTTGCTTGAAGTTGCATATGAGTCACAAGTTCACTGGTATACCAATCGTGACCTACTCCGGACCCATCCAGATTTCCATGGGCAAGCCCATTATGATTCCATAATGGTGGACACAGTTGGTGGGCCATCTTTTGCTTGGCTGGTCCTAATGTTTTCCATCACACCTTCAAGTAACATTGGTAAGGTCCAACTTGCCCTCATTCGCTACTACGTCCCTGTCCCCCCAAGTTCCTGCCCACCTTCAGCTAGAGCTGCAGGTTTCAGGCGATTCAAACTCAGTGAAGAAGGTTCCTCCGCCATCATTTCATTGGAATCTGTCATCCATGGAGTGTTAATGGTTCCCACATTCTCTGACTCTGGCACTGCAGCAAGCACATTTTTTGTCAATGACCTCATTGATGGTGACGTGTTCATTCGGATGAAGCATTTTTGAAGATGTAGGCTATGTAGATTAATTCTAATATCAACTAGATCTTGACCTCCAGTCTGTCCCCCTGACAAGGCAACCCAAACTAATGTGAAATGAGGGCCAAGGGACAACTAGGGTGTTACGAGGATGGGGAGAACTTCTCCCTTCTCGAACTGTTCTTGTCACTGGAAGACAATCACAAGATCTTGTTTGTACCTTAACAGGATGTGTAATCAATGGGAGGTCCCAGTCGTGTATGAGAGTAGACGATCAAATCCCCATTGATCATGGTTCACAATGGAATGAGCTATTAAGGGTTTGATTACATGTAGTCGGAGATGTCAGGATAGATAGGTTGGCCACGGGTACTTGGCACTCCTCAGGGGAGCATACTGTGTGCACAGTTGCGACTTGTACATTGTGTGAAGATCCTGTATTGTTGCTATCGGTTACTTGGTGTTTGTAGTACGAACATACCAGTGGCAGGTTATAATCATGAGAGCCCAGTAAGGAATGGCTAGTGGGGCCTTTGGTGACTTGGCATTCCCAAAGGGAACGTACCATTGGCGGTGAGGTACAATGACTGACAAGGGAGGGACCAGATGGTTGATGGGCGGCTACTTGGTGCTTGTGCAATGAGCGTGCTGGCATCACAGGAATATGAGTCTCAGAGCAGTTGCGATCCCGAATACCATAATATGATGTCGTCCATCAAACACTGGAGGGAGAGCTAGGCGATGACATCCTGTGGGACATGGGTTCCAGTGAATGATACACAAGTCATGAGGCTTCAACTTGCGACTTCGAGTCCTTGCAGTGGGAACCACCAGATGACTTGACATAACCAGGCATATAGGACATATTGAAGGTTGTACACACACACACACACACATGTTCAGCTGAGTCACAGAAGGGGTTGTTACAAGAGACAATGCACAAGGTAGTTTGTAGCAAGTCATGGTAGTTAGCAGGAACTGCCTCCATGTAAGCGTAGTTAAGGTTGAGTTCGCAAGTGATCTCACGATAGTCAAGTGTTGCCTCACACTCCCAGTCCATTGAAGTACGCTGTATGAAGCTGTATTTATCAATGGGGGGGGTAAAAGGCTCGGGAAGCCTTTATCCCCTCTCATGTAGGTTATATATACATAATGTAATTACATGTGATTAGTGCGGCTTGGGACTGCATGGTAAAATGAAGGTATCGCACTGGGTACAAACCTGACATGATAAATAAGGAATGAATAGGGAGGGCCACGAGTATGTGGCCTATCTCCCTTACACTTCAGCAGTTTCCATACATGACGTGTGACTGTCTACAAATGGAATGGTTGCAGGAAATCTCGCAAAATGCAACAACCTTGGCCAGCACCAAAACCCTGATGGGGAAAGCTTTTCATGAGGGGGGGGGAATGGAATAGGATGGGAGAGGATAGTAGGGTATCAGGAAAGAGAGCGAGAGAGTGAGTGAGTGATAGAAAGGGGAGGTCTTTGACAATGTGATGGATATGGTCATTGGAGACTCTATATGCATAACATAGGGGGCACAGCACTCCTTTAGAGTCACTGAGGCCAAAGGCCCTACCCTTGGGCCTTGTCCCCTCACCTCCAGCATCCTCAGCCTGTTGCATCTATGTTAAAAGTTGAGCTTGAATCATGTATTTACTGTTGTTTACATCAGGTTAATAGACTTAGCAGTCTACTTCCATCACAATCTCTTGCTGGTGTAACCTTGTTTTTCAACAGTCTAGCCTCACACAGTGTCACAACCTGGTGTTCCCCAGGGTCAGACAACCTCCTCCCCAACCTTTTCCCATTCCTGAACACTCCCCACACACTCCACTCGCCACCCATCACCATCCAACTACTCCCCACCATGTCTTGACGTTCCCTCCCCTAATTGTCGTTGAATGATCTAGCGCTGCACCCTCTTGTTCCATGTTTCACCACACCCTTCTATCTTGCAGCAAAGGTCACAGTTAACCTTCGCTGTCTTGACCATGTGCTTATTTGTTTGTTTTCCTTTTCTTTTCTCCACCTGCAATCTCCATGAGATCTGGCAACTTATTTTCTATTCAGTTCTTTAGTGCTTATAAACAGCTTGTACCCATTGCTTGTACAGTAGTTCGAAATCAACTAGAACATCCCCCCTAGCTTGCTTCTGTCCCCTGTAAGACCTCTGCCATCTGAAGTATCGGGACCGCATCGAGAACAAGGCACAAGGCTCCTCCCTGAGTTGTTGAAGCCGAAATCCCAGCCCACTCACCTAGCAACCTCTGAGATCAGTGAGGTTGATCCTCACTAAAGCTCAGCTGTGAACGGGAAGCCTTTATTACTAGCAGCTATGTACGGTCACTGATGGCTACTATCAGCAAGACTTTGCACAATTCTGACACACAGCCTTGGTGTCACGACCTGGCAATTCCCACAGCCAGGTGACCACTCCCCACACCTTCTCCCTCCTCCGCTTTGACCCCGTCAACTCCGCTGCCCACCCAACACCACCTGAACAAGCCCGTCACCCCTCCCCGTCACTGCTACCTGTTCCATGGCCCGTCACAGGCCTATGAGTCATTCCTTATCACGCTTGTTTTTCTTGACAGCCATGCACGGCCGTCCTTCTCCCACGCTCTTTGTTTGTTTTCATTCCTTCTTAAGCCCACCTGCAATCTCCGTGAGATCTGGCGACTTATTTCTATTCATTCCGTTACACTTAAATACCAGTTGTATACTACCTCGTACTTTAGTTCGAAAATCAACTAGGGTTACCCCCTGTGCCTCCTGTCTGACCCAGTCGCACCTTCTGTCCTCTGAAATATCGGGGCCACGTCAAGTACGAGGCGCAACACTCATGAACGAGTCGTTGAAGCTGAAACCCTGCTTTTGCCACAATTGTCATCCCTGCCCTTAACGGGCTGTTACGCCGGAGTAGCGGACCTTAACGGTCGCTGACGGCGAGTCACGGTAACATTCTCCCATGCCCTGACACTTGGCCTGCATCAGCCACCCTTTGCACTGACCCCCAGATCAGTATCTAACAGAAACAGGCTGTCAGGGATTGGCAACAACCCTGGACCCTAGGCCAGCTGCACATATGCATGTGGGAAGTACCATACTAGCACATAAAGATCACCTGTGACTAGGGCTCCTAGCGGATCGGATCAGTCCAGATCTGGATCAGAATCCACAGATTTTTAGAGGTTTGAAACAAAAACCGTATCTGTCATATTCATCCTCCACCACCACCTTCCATCACCTCTGCCTCCATTCTCCTTTTGGGTTGTTATCCATTAAACCTGTAACCCAAGTTGCCAGTAATATTCAGTTGACTAACCCTTGACCCTGTTATGTCAGCTCCACCCAGCCCCTGCCATTTATGGGCCTGCCACCTAGACTTCCCATGTATCTATATATACCATACTTGTAGATACCGGAAACCCTAGTCAATAATCAACCAAAGTTTCCCCCTTTTCTAGTAGACTCTTCTGTTCACAAATTAGGGCCCCAACATGTTACTGGGCACAGTGCTCCTGGCCTGAGTCGCTGAGGCTGCAGCCCTCTGAAACACTGAGTCATCTTTCCCACTTTGAATCCGGTCTTTGACAGTATCCAGCAGTTAGAAATCCACAGATATGCAGATCAACCGCAGATTATTGATAATATGTTCCAAAATTGTATTTTGTTAGAATGACCCTGATGAGAGCTTTCTAACAATATCAAATATGTCCATATTGGTGGAGAACTGACAGGGATATGGGGAAAATGGCACAAAAGAGGGTGTCAGATGCCAAATTTGGAAATAACAGGTCTGAGTGGTTAGATAGGACTTGGAAAAATTGGGAAAAAATATGGAAACATAGGAGGGGTATCTAGGAAAGTGGGATATATTTTATCCACAGATAATCCACCTATCTGCAGATTAGAAACTGCGGATATTATCCTCTCAAAAGCCAAATCCGGATCCGCAAATTTTCGGATAAATCTGCAGATATCTGAGTGTCATCTGATCCACTAGGAGCCCTACTTGTATGCAAGTTCTTATTGTATTTACAGACTGCACATATGTATAGGTAAAGGAACAATGAATCAGTTCTCTTACTTGAGACTGAGACCACACATATAGCTTATTTTCATTACACATCCGGACTAAAAATACTTATGTAGCACATTGGGTGTTTGTTGGCATGCAGTATAAGTGCCATTTATACCATGCAAAATGGATTTGAAGTCCCATTGTAACAGGGTGCCCAAACATTGAGATGCATTGCAATGCATTGCAACGCGTCGCAACGGATATCACGTGACATTGCGGATCTGTAACTTTTCCGACAGGGTCAGTGATGGGGGGTGGCAAGATGCCGTGGTCCGGGTGCTACTAACAATCAACAAAAATCTCTAAAAATTAACACTCACTCCTGGTCACTCTGGACAATCGTCAGGAGTCTACTGGACGCGCTCTGGCGTAGCTAAGCTTCTAGACAAAATGATACTGCAATTTTGGGAGGCCCCTTCTGAGGGGGGATGTCATATCCATACATACCCGACCCCGATCCGACTCCTGGACCCCCATCTTCATCACCTCTGGAGTCCTACCCTACTTCCATTTGCTCAGATACTCACCTTCAGACGGAACATCACCCCTCTCGCCACCCTCCTCCTATTACTCCCCCTCACTCCTCCACCCTTCTGTCCCTCTCCTACCCTACTTCCGTTCACTCCGATACTCACCTTCAGACTGAGCATCGCTCCTCTCACCACCCTCCTCCTACCATCAAACCTCCAGCAAGTTATGACCTTCCGCTGCTGCCCCGTACCCTGTACTCGGACACCACTCGTACCTTCGCTTCGAGATTCTGTCATAGTTCCGACCTCGGACTTTGACTCCACCTCGGCTTAAGTCCATTGCATTGGTGACCTCATACTCTGTAAACACCATTGCCAACATTCCTTGGACTTTCAACCCCACCTCTGTAACCTCCGTAACCTCTGTAAGCTCCACAACCTCTGAGCTCCATGGATCATACTCA